GGAAATGGGTCTCGAGAGCATGCACGCCTCCCTACGATTACACGATTATTGATAAGTCCTACGTTTAACACAAAATGATTACAAATATGAAGAATCAAATGGATGTTTCACCAGGATTAACCATCCTTATATTCTACCCAAGATTACAAGTTTGTTCCGGATAAGTAGTTTCCATCATTTATCTATTTATTCTCTCATCTCGGATTTTTTATTCATTTGCTGGGTCGTCGTTCTCGACGGTCGGGTTATGCATTGTTGAGTGTTATATCATTCGAGTACGAAATAAGCAATTATAATCATGCTCAAAAGGATTCCGATAGGAGCTTCCAGGAATGAACAAGAAAACAAACACGGCACAATACCAATAAAAATCGCCTGTTCTAGTAGCACACCAGGCCCGTTAGTAGACAGCACGGATAATGGCCGGAGGCGGGGTGAACCATCATAACCCAGTTTCATCTTCGTCAAAATCATCAGCTCCGTCATGCTTCATCTTCTTCATCCATCATCATCAGCACTCGCAGCATCATCATTCTCCTTTAACACCCACAATGCTCTAGAACTGTAGACAAATGTTCCATTCGGATTCATTTCCCTTCCAGCAATTTTTCACCACATGAGCACTCATAATGAAAAAATAACAGTTTCCACAAACGAGAGTTACCCCCGGCAGTTTGCCTTTTGTTTTATACTGTGTCTAGGTGTATTTTAGTATTTACAGTAATGAGTGGAACCGGGAGGATCTTGTATGTTCGTACAAATGTAGAATGATGTTGGAATAGGTAGTGCAGATGCAGGGTCCCAAGTCTATCCACTACACAGACCTAGAGTGGGAGCGCAATCAAGCTTCACTATTCAAGTTGTCATACACAGCTCGTATCACGGGAAAAGTTGACAATGCGTTCTTCCAGTCATGAGCAAATGAAGCCTTTACATTATTTGATAAATTATATTACCGGTGTTTGAGAAGCATACACAGTGGAGTGTGCGTAGGTGGAGTGTTTGATCATAAGACTCTATTGTTGGACAAACAAGTTTCGAAAGAAATTTAGTAACAGAATCAGGGAGTCCAGCTATGCTCTATATAAAGGGGTGATGTATATATTATGTCACGCTGTTAGGGAGGAGTTTAAGATTATGTGACAAACAATGCATAATATATAGGAAAAACGTGATGAGAAACGAAGGAGGGGTGTTAATTTTTTCAAAATTTAGCGTAACGTAATTAATGCATGGCCCCAAAGTAAGCTCATCCCAATTTTGTATTGTGGATTTAGATTTAAAAAAAAGTGTGGGTTGTGTACAAAACACGACCGCAAGGTTGACGTAAACTACGATAAGCTGGTCACCAATATCTCGTGCAATTTTCTTGATATTGATTTAAAATATATTAGAAGTAACCTATTATTTCGGTCCATTTGTACATATTTTGGATTTTATACTTAGTAAACCTTGGCCAAATTCAGGACCTGATAAAATGCGAATACAATGTGTGTTACATTTGGTTCCTAAATTGCAATCAGATATGAATGTAAAAATATTAATAAATGGCGAAATATACAGGGTGCGTGACGAATTTTTGCAGTAAATTTCAAATAGTAATTTCTCATGCTTGTGCATCATGATTTAGATATATTTGGCAGCACTGGATAGCTTATACTGTTAGGTGTAAGATTAAAACAAACAATGTTGAGTAAACGTAAAGATGTCGAAACAAGAGAGCAATCTGTCAGCCGTTGTCGCTTTGTTGCGCGCCGGAGTATGCATGAAAGAAATAATTCGGTCGGTAAATGTGTCTGAAAGAACAGTGTATAATATTAAAAAAGGCTTGGGAAAGTGATAAGACGGAGCACCTGCTCATACTGCTAATAAAGCACAGAAATGGCTTACGGAAAATATTTCGTAAATTTGGGAGGAAGAAATTTGGCCCCCATGCAGTCCCGATATCAATCCGTTGGATTATTTTGTATAGGGCGTCGTCCAACGGGATACCAATAGAACCCCTCACACCACACTTAAGTCGCTAAAAGCTAAAATCAAGGCAGTGATGACATCTATGAATCGAAACATTTTAAAACGTGCATACTGCAGTTTCCGGAAGCGTCTAACTACAGTCGTCAAAAGGGAAGGCAATTTTTTTGAATAAATTTACTTACAACTTCCATATGTTGCGAAAGAAAATAAATCACACAAAATTCATTGCTAGAATAACTAACTGGTGTATTTTTCCTCAAATATGCCATTTACTGCAAAAATTCGTCACGCACCCTGTACATAAGTTCCACACCTAAATTTAGGATTTAGGACTGAAAAGATGATCTTTTTTAACAATTGGTGGCAATGAAAAGGGCCAATGATAGGCCGATGTTGTCTTAACTTGATCTTGTTTTCATATTTTATTATAACATTTTTTGTGTTTCGTAATATTTGAACTGGACCCAAGAGGGAAATAATATTGTAGTCTCACTGAAAATCGATCAATACCGTCGATTTATTCCAGAAATATAACTCTTTATGAGAAGGACCGATTTTTCTGGTTGTGAAGTTGATCCACTGCGAGGAAAAATTTTCTGAACGACGACAGAGAGAAAAATTTCACCTTTTACTGCTGACTTGCTGCTGGTACCACGCTGTCCGATGCGAAAATGAGCGGAGGCACTTTTTTGACTTAAAATGATCTTTATTTCTTGTATTTATGTGATTTACATGTATGCCTTATCAAGCGACACAGATGCGTCTTTTCAACTTTAGTTCTTTTGATATTTCAATTAATATTAGTTACAGTTCCTTGTCCTATCAGGCCTGTTTAGAGAATGACCACCTTGTTGGGATTGGTTTGTTTAAATTGGAAAAACGAGACTACTTAAAACCATTATTTACAACTACAACTAACCTGCAACTACTACATACACCTAACAAATTGCTTATCAAAGCATGTTCTGATGTATTGCATTTCTGAACAAACCTAGCCTTAATGTTAGCAATTTCGAAATCTAATTTAGGAACGTTCGCCTCAGATGTAGATCGGAAATTCTCGACTAGAAAGGACGATCAAGTACAATCCTCAGCACTCTGTTCTGAGCGACCTGGATTTTGTTCCTGTGGTGAGTCTGTGCACATGATTCTCAAACCGGAGCTGCGTAGAGAATCGCAGGAGCTATGATGGATTTGTAGACAGCAACCCTAACTCCACCCTTGAGAGGCGGGATCTGCGACAAATCAGCGGATACAGACACCTAGCCAAGGCAGAATACTTGGCTCCAGTTTTATCTTCATGCGAACGGAAAAGGAGGCTTTCATCGAAAAACATTCCGAGATAGGTTACTTCGGCAGACCACTCAACTCTTGTGCCATGCATGATTTCAGTACAAGAGGGAGCCGGTTTTAGTTTGGGCGATTACCGATGGAGGAACATGATTACTTGAGTTTTGGAGGCATTGATATTGATTTTCCACGTGGTGGCATAATCAGCATGGACGTTAAGGCATCGTTGAAGTTTGTTCGTTATTTCGCGAGGCATCCTTCCTTTGACGGCTATTGCGGTAACATCTGCGAACACGAATGTCGGAAGTGTAAATGCTGTAAAGCAAGGGGACCAGCAGACTGCCTTGCGGGACTCCTGCTGGGATGGAAAACATGTTTGAAAGACAACCATTCAATGATACCTTATAATGACTTTTGTTGGAGGTAGTTACGGGTGATTTTAAGCAGATGTAATGGGAAGTTGAAGGTACAAAGCTTCTACACAAGCCCGTCATGCCAAACATTGTCAAACGCCTTTTTAACGTCTACCTAGGCCATGGCTGTGGACTTCGATACAGCTTTGTTACTTCGGATGGCACGACAGCAGCGCTTTTTATATACGCCCACTGCGAGAATGTTCAGTAGAGGCAGAGAGAGACCTTTAACCGCTGACTTTCTCCTGCTTGTTATTTGCCACCTCAGTGTTTGATAAGTTTTCAGGTTCAAACAGAACTGTGTGCAAGCTATGTGAGGTACTCGATTATAAGGAAATCGTTTATTTTATGAAAAAAAATCACTTTTTATTTGTTCCCGAAGTTTTTTTTCATAGATAATTGGACAAGTATTTATTTCAGCAGATTTGTAGGGTTATTTACTATCGTTTGGTGTATTTGGATTTGAGTTTAATCTATAAATGACAAAGTTTCATGCGTTCAAAACCTAACATCTTTTCGTGGAGGTTGCAATTTTAGATTTTCGATTTACCTCCTGTACCTGTTGTAGTATACGTCAAAAATTCTATACGTCGATGATCGATTCGCTTCCAACGCGACTAATAGCAATTTAAGTAAAAGAACTGATCATGTGCTGTTATTGACCGCGTATTTATGGATCAGCTGAAAGCAATTATGGATCAGTCCGTCTAGCGTGTCAATCAAATGGTGTGATTCATAATTGTGGGTCAGTATATTCGAAATTTTTCTGCATCAACGGATTCTCCTGATCAAATGGATTACAAGACCGTTCTAAGTCCGATAATGATTTTAAGATCGATCCCAGTGATTTAGGATGCAATTTATGTATTAAAAAAAATCGTCTTGCATTGATACCTGTAGGGGATTCGAATGATACTGTTAAAAAATATCATTTAGAGAGCAAACGAAAAGAATAACGAAGGCAACTGACGTAGAAGATTTTTAATTCTAGCTAATTTTGAAGTTTTGATTAAAAACGCAATAATCGCAAAGAATTGAAGTCTAGGTGAAAATACTTCAAACTGAATCCCGACCGTCACCATAGCTTCACCACCAATCTACCCTTTCATGCGCACAGGACCCGTCACTTTTGAGTTAAGCTCATGAATGGTTTTTATTTTTATCAATTGAAAATGGGGGTCTCAGTAATGGTAGGCAGGGAGTACCCCACCAGTTACATGCGGCTTAATTCATTTTTGATTTTTCGACAATGTTGGTTTGCCACAGAAACCTACCTGCCACATTCTAAAATAAAATCATTTCTTCTATCTTTTTTGTTCACAGGTTCACAAATCTACCAAGAGCAGACTGTCATCTTGCACAAAGCATGTAAAAATTAAGGTAAATTTTTAATTAAATTATATTGGACTATGTATTGTTTTCTGAGTCTCCAGATCAAAGACGTGTCGAACCATTGGAACATTTCTGCTGGACACGATTCATCAAATCGAATCCTTTTTTCATACAATTTATTTTACCACTTCGCATTTTCTCGGATCCACATCTGGTGATATATGTACGAGGTTCAAAATGTATATCATTGTTTGTGTAGATCGACACGACTTCTATATGATAAGATTAGTGCCCCTGAAAACGCAAAGGGGAAGGATTCCGTCAATCTTGTCTTTAAAAGAACATCAATTATGGACAAGCATGAGTTTAAATTGGAACATCATAATCTACTCTTAGAACAACTGGTGTAAATTTAAACTTATTTCTAGTTGTTCTTGGCAGGCTTCATGTCTACTCTCAACTTGGTGTATTTTAGCTTGTTTCTCAATTACAGTAATGGCCCGATTTTGTCAGCCCCCGCGCATCAAAGTTTGTGTTTTTTTTTCAATAATTATACATAACCATAATTCCTTAGATATTTCATTTATCTTCAAGATGGATGTTAATGATATTAGAAAGGCACTGAAAAGCGTATGGGTTTCGTAGATTATTAGAACATATTTTCAAAAAGGGGGCTGACAAAATCAGGTTACTACTGTATTGGAGTTTTAACCGCGTTTTTACTGGATAATGTATTGTTGCGCTTATGTTAAATTCTCATTTGGTGATGGCTAAAGCGCATTTTTTACACGATTTTATGTTGCCTCCGAAAAGATGGCAGCGTATCAGCGTTTGTTTAACCAATTTGCGCCGTCATACGGCCATAAACCGAGAACAGATGCCTGCCACACACAATAGCGGGTGGCCAAGACAATAGGTTATTACCTACATCTTTTTACATTGCGCTTTATTCGTTTATTTTCAAAAAATCTTGGGATGCGTAAAAGCGTAATACCTAAATTACGACTTAAACAAGTGATTCAAAAAATGCAAATCTAGATCAACATTGCAAATCTCATTCATTCGTGTATGCCAAAAACCTGCTCGGCAGTGAGATAACAAAGTTAAATGATTCATTCGATAAAATCCAGACATTCGCTGCATTTAGAATCACAGTAGGCATTGGTTGTCAGGATAAGTTCATTTGTTTACATCATGGCTTCACCGGAGCAAGCACGTCACGATTCGATCATGCACGCTAGAAACAAAAATCCTTATCTATCCGCTCCTGCCAGTTTTCAATCAAATTCCTGGGCAGGAATTTTATACCTCGGTTGACCAGAAGAGTACCCCGGAAGAATGTAAAATCAAAAAGAATTCGAAATTCCCTTAAAAGTTCCTTGTCTGGCAAGAAATCTGCAGTTGTGGGCTGAAAAGCGAAACTTTCGTTACTTCTGCCCCATGAACCAGCAAATTTACAAGGAGGAGTGCCTACGGAAGAGACTTCTGCCTTTTCTTGAGCAGCATGAGATGGATTGCTTATTCTGGCCGGACTTGGTAAGCTGCCTCTACTCAAATTCCACCAAACAGTGGTTTAGCGAAAATGGTATCACAGTGGTTTTCAAGGAGATGAATCCGGCCAATATCCCGGAGCTAAGGCCAATTGAAGAATACTGGTCAATTGTGAAGCACATACTGAAGAAAAAGGGTGGAACTGCAATTGACCTGTAGGACTTCAAGCGAAAATTAAAGTAACTTCGGTAACCGTGCAAAAACTATTTCATTATGGGCGACTGCCAAATACAAGAAAATACATTCCCTGTTGTAAAAATTCTCGCGTTTCTATACGTTCACTCGACCAATCAGGCACTAGTTCGCGTTTGACAGAAAATTGGTTCATAAAAGTCCCCCTATTATCTCCTCTTCCTCTTAGGTAGAGAATAAACCCGAAAGGCGTTTCATACACTCTTCCATGACTCTCAAATAATCATTGTACAGCAAGCGGTTAAAATCGTTTATTACACGTTTTAATGACTTCCTAATAACCGTTGTGTAAGCACTCACAATATTCACAGATTAAAATTAGTTTAACAATTGTAGCGAAACGCCACAATAAGCGCTTGTACAATTTTTATTCATCTCATACATTTGTGCACATTGAAAAAATATGTAATTATGCCATAATTCACATTTTGTGATGATGGAGGAAGTAGTAACAATCGTCTGTTACTCAAATGATTAATTGAAAAAACTTATCTAGAAAATAAATGTTTGATTTTATTATATGTGCCTTAAATTAATGTTTGCATTTATGAATAAAACCTAAATATAATTTACCTCTACTCCGCCGAGTGTTTGTCCAAGCAAAATTCATGATCCTGGATTGCCGGCCGCTTCTATTTCCATCTGCTCTATTCTTGATTACATATTTTGATCATATCAGAGAAGTATGTATATAAAGCTCAACTTGAGTGACTTCTCTTGCAGTCGAATAATTATTGCTTTACGGTCATATAAACGTATCTATCACTTGTGCTATTGTTAGCAACAAAATTGTTGTTGGTATTTATAACCCAAGTCGCGCAAGTGCTGAAACAAAGTTTTACAAGTCATTAAACAACAACTTCATCAACATTGATTAGGCGTTGTAAAACGGCTTTACAATAATTGAATAAATCAGGCAAACATTTGATAGCGGCACAAAAGCATTTGTAAACAAACTTTCTAAGGCCCTTTACACGCGAAACAACGTACGCCCACGCAAACCAAAAACATCCTCGGATAGGGGCAACTATCACCTTTCCGAAAGTGGTATTGGTTTGCGCGGGCGTACTTTGGTTCGCGTGTAAAGGGCTCTAGAAAGTTTGTTTACAAATGCTTTTGTGCCGTTATCAAATGTTATGCCTGAAATGTTCAACAAACATATGTGAAAGCACTGTTCGTTGTGAAGCTGTTAACCTGCATGTCAAAGAGTTGCAGTGACGATTGCAGAACTCCTTTTCAGCTTGTATATCATATTAAATATCATTCTGGTTACCGTGAGGGAATAGCCCGTATAACACGTTTATTAAGCAATAAAACCACATAACTAGAATGCTCTAACAAGAGTTGCATAGATAATTTGTATAAGTTTCAGTGCAACCTGCTTGCCAGCAAATTTTAGTGCAGTTGCATAATGTGTGGAGTGATAGTCATTGAAACTGTTTTTCATGATCGTGTTAAACTCAATACATAGTGTTGAACAATAGAAGTCTTTTAGGAGTATAATGCTTTTATTCCACGCTCTATACAGCTCTTCTCAACCGGTTTAGCTGAGATGTTATTAAAGGTATCGTGGGTCTTATGAAGCATATAGTTAAACCGAACGGAAACAATCATTTAAAGTGGTCCATGCAGTTTTTAAAGCTTTTAACCAAATGACAATACAACTACTTGTTGAACTCTGGAAGCTATTATTCAACGTTTGATCAACTCAGGTGTTTTATAATACTCTCAATTGATTGCTGGGATGCTTTCTTGCCCCGCAGCGTGGGTAGATCACCTTTTTGTGGTACGTTACGGGATGTTCTACCACCGATTCCTAGTCCTGACTATTTCAAATTAGGGGAACAGGATTTTTCAGTAATTACAGGAACGCATCTCAGTCCTTGTTACTTTTTATGTCTTGTTGATAGTGACAAGACTTGGCTTTGTCAACCGAAGATGATCTTGAAACAAGTGAAAAATGAGTTAGTTAGTCTTTTTCTATCTGATTCCTAATCTTCTATTCGTTGTTCTCTAGTTTGAAGTGGTTAAAACTAGGGTTCTGAGTAGTTCATTATCGGTGTCATTGCTTAATTTTGTTGTTAATGAATACAATTTTGACTGTAAAGGGGAGCGTCTTTCACGGTGGTCTCACTGTTCGAAGGGTATAAATAGCGAAACCTTTCAATTAGAATCAATCATTTCTCAATAGTGATGGAGTAATACGACATGCACTAAACTAAAGACACGGGATGTCCTACAATCTATCTAATTACTGGTTGCAGTGGATTTATGTCCCGTACAGAGCAAAAAATGCTTTCTATTGATGACTATGTAAATGATTCCAAGAAGCAGACATAAGCTGATGTAAGAGGGTTAAAGCAAAGACAGCAAATCAAGAAGACTGGCAACTTTGCCAGATACAATGGCGCTGCGCTTGAGTGAAGGTGGAAAAACGCATAGAAAAATGAGCAAATACACAAACCCTTCTTCGGAGGATGTAATCTTTGTTATCAAATTCGTTCGAAGCATTTACCTTTGAGCGGCAGATGACGCGATTTTACCTGTCGCATAGCGTTCATATGAGAAAATGGATGAGTTGCCAGTCTTCTTGATTTGTTGTCTTCGATTAAAGCCAGGAAGTAGAATAAGAACTTGAGAAGCGCAGCCATTTTACTCTAAAACGAATGAAAAATCACTAAAAATTTCATTCATTTTCGAGTTGTTTTCATCGGTTGTGTACGAACCCGTAAAAACGTATGAAATTTGCTCAAAACACCACTTTTCACTGCTTGTTGGTCCTTTTTCATGCATGTTAAGATAAATGGGGAGATGATTTCTGCTTGGCGCATTTTCAAAGAACGAGGAAATATCGCGTCAAATACCTCATTTTTTTATTCATTTATTTGCTACCACATCGATACAACGTAACGTGCAGGATCATCATCGCCGTTACAGCAAAAAACAAACGCGTGCAACAACTATTTTAAAAGTCTACACGCGTTCGATGTTCGTATATGTGACATGTTGAAATTTTTTGGCACTTTTAGCCAGATTGGTTCAATTTCACCAATACCAAAGGCAGAATGCGGGTTTCCCGCACCCAAACTAGAGCAAGTGGAAAATTTGTTTTCGTCCAACAACTGCTCGCGGTCACTAATTTAATCGTGTAAACATGAGCGTAGATCGCAGAAGACCCACTCTTCATCATTCTCTCATTCGGCTAGCTGAAAAAGAGCGATCTCTACCAATCACAGCTACCATGTCATGTCAGAGGGAAAATGCGGAAAACACACCAGCCAAGTTTGTGTTTTTCGTGGAAATTC